TAGTTTCACGGCTATTCTTGAAAGAAGGAAATAATAGAATGAAAACCTTTTGCTTTTGAGTAACAAACACAGAAGAATATTTAACCAGAAAAGGACCAAGAGAAGAAACCAAGAGAATATTGAAGAACAAAGAATGAGAGAAGGAAAGGAGGTTATTGGAAATGCTTTAGAAAAAATACCAGACATTTGTTGGCAAATTCCAGATTGGGGGATTCAGTTGGAGTTTGAAGAGCACAATATATGAATTTTCTGGAGAATTACGCTACTGTGTGAGGGTTGGGGGATTCAATTGAGTTTGAAGAGCACAATATATGAATTTTCTGGAGAATTACGCTACTGTGTGAGGGTTGGGGGATTCAATTGGAGTTTGAAGAGCACAATGTATGAATTTTCTGGAGAATTACGCTACTGTGTGAGGGTTTATTGGATTGCTTATTTGTTATTTATAAGTAGCTTTAAGCTTTATATTCGAATCTCTGTGCTTGTTAATATAAAAAAATAGTGCTTATTTGATTCTTAAAAATGATTGAAGATAGAAGGATGTAAGCACAATTTTCTTAGAGGTTTTTATTTTTTATTGAACTAATTTACATAATTACCTTCTTGATATTTTCTTAAATTAACTATATATAAAAGATAATTTAAGTTACAAAATTTTTGAAGTAAAAATATATATTATTTGTTTTTTACAAAAAAAGAAACCATTTATTTTCTGCAATAAGCATTTTATTCAAACATGTAACTGCTTATTTTTGAGTAAGAAGTTTACTTGCTTTAAGTAAAGACATCTTACTGTTTGAAATACTTTTTTTGAACAATCCCAAACATCCTTTGATACTAAATGTTAGAACTTGAGTTTATAAACAAGATACTTAAGAGGAGTTTAGGTGAAATGAATAAGAATGAAAAAGGAGACTTGCAAGATATGTTGCAATCTCATATTTAAGGATCAGTTTGTAGGTTGAAATATTAAAAATATGTAGAATATGGGGTTTAGGACCTGCTAGAGAGAGCTTACTGATCTCTATAGTAAGGGTACTCTGCAAACTGTTTTTAATTAAATATTCTTTGATTATTGCATACTGTTTATATATTTATGTGTAAGATGTAGCGTAGTATTTCTATCTTAAAAGATGTAATAAATTCTTTGTGTATCCCTAATAATGAAGATCTAAAATCTTAATTTAGGTTGTTTACATGATACTGTTTCCTAATTGATATAAAACAATTCTTATCCTACCTTATTAAAAATTCCTTACCTAAATAATCTCCTAATTAGACATGCTTAAGGAAATCAGCCCGGATTCCTTCTCTCTCTTTGGGCTCCCACATTCACTGTAGTGTTTTCTCAGTTTCTCCTTCTAGTGCTTCTTACTTTCTCCTTCTTCTTTTCGTTTCCCTGTTACTGGGGCATAACAAGATAGGAAGAAGGTAGAGTTGAGGAAGAATAGAGAGCAAAATAGAGGAAGCTGTGAGAATTCATCACAAAACTTTCTTTACTAATCACTTAAGATTCAATCATGCATGTGTGTCTGCTAATTTATAATTGCTCACAAATTGATTGGTCAAGTGGTTAGCTAACTTGCTAACAAATTACTAATCTGCTAACTATACACCTAAGACTTATTAACCAACATTTGATTAACTACATAGTAACACTGCAAATTTAATTTTGGCAAAATGCATAAGAGTTGTGCAGTAAAAAAGCATCAGATTGGATGGTAATATTTGGTAGACCTTGTATTGGTATATCTTGTGTACTCCTTTTTTTTTGAGATAAAAATATGAGTTATATTGATAAGTCGGCACATAGGGAATGCCATCTATGTACATAAAATTTATAGATCAATGAATTTATCTACAATAGAACCAAGATCAACAATATTATCAAGATTGTGGCCTAGGACAATAGAACCCAAATAGTGAAGTCATTTATCCTTGATAGAGACAAAATCTAATTCTTTCCCTTCAAAAGCTCTAGGGTTTCTTTCTTTCCAAATGATCCAAAAGATAGTTAAAGGAATGAGTCTGTGGGATGAATCTTTCCTACAAAAACCTTCCCAAGCAAGTAACTTCCCTTTGTTCATACCAGCAATAGCCCAATGTACTCCCATGATACTAAAAACTTGGGACAAAAGAGAGTGAGAGACCGGACACCAGAGGAGCAGGTGGTTGGTCGATTCTAAATTTGATTTGCAGAGGTAGTACCTATTGACCATGATAATCCTTCTCTTAGTAGGGTTGTCAATTGTAAGCATGAGTTCCTTAGCAGCTTGCCAATCAAAAAAGGAGATTCTTGGAGAAGCCTTGGATTTCAAAATCAGATTGGCCAGAAAACCCAAGTGGGAGTGTCTGCTGTGACCAGCCATATGATTGTAGAGAGATTTAGGCAAGAATGCACCATTCTTCAGTTTCCATATAAGTTTATAATCTTTGTTGTTGATGCTAACATTAGTTAAAGCTGGAGCAAAGTCAAGTATTCCTCCACTTCCCAATCCTGTAAATTCCTATTTAACACCAGATTCCAGTCCCTAGATAAATCAGACCCAAGAATATTCTCAATGAGGACATCTTTATCCTGGTGATAGCAAAAATGTTAGGGAAGTGATTCTGGAAATTTTCTTGACTGAGCCATGTCCAGCCAGAATCTCACATTGCTACCTTTACCAACAACGCAACTTATACATTTAAGCACGGTTAACCCAGTCTGCATGATGTTTCTCCACAAGCTTGATCCAAACGAACTGTTTTCCAGAAAGGAAGGGTTATGCAGATCCTCACCATACCATTTGTGAATCATGACATTTTTCCATAAGCTGTTATTATCATTCCAAAAATGCCAAATCCATTTTCCAAGAAGGGTTTTGTTTAGGGTGCTTAAGGATATGATTCCCAGACCACCATTCACGATCGGTTTCTTGATCTCCTCCCATTTAACAGGATGAAATTTACGGTCGTTGTCCTCATCTCCCCAAAGAAAACGATTTTGAATCTATTTCAATTTCTTAACAACCTTTGTAGGAATATGAAGCACAAATAAATAATAAATCGGAAGATTAGACAAAGTGTTTTTCATAAGTGTTAACTTATCACCTTAAGAGAAAATTTCTTTTCCAGCCTGCCAATCTGTTCTCCACTGTCTCAATAATTGGATCCCAGCTTCTCTCATCTTTATGTTTAGCACCGAGGAGCATACCCAAGTACTTGATAGGTAACTTAGATATTTTTACAGCCTAAAACCCGAGAAAAAATCTGACTATTTACAGCAGTGCCAATCTCCACAAGTTCGGATTTATTCAAATTAATTTTGAGCTCGAACACCACTTGGAAACAAATAAGGATGCATCTTAGCATGAGAAGTGTGTTAACGTCTGGTTAACAAAAGATTAATGTCTCGTCAGCAAAAAATAGATGAGTGATTTCCATTTATTTGCCAAAGTTGCCAACACTAATTCCTCTCAACAGCCGTAGGTCTTTGGCTTTTTCGATAAGTTTGTTTAGAGCTTCCATTATGGTAATGAAGAGTAATGGTAGAAAAGGGTCACCTTGTCTCAAGCTCCTGGTAGCTGTAAAAAAAGATGAGGGTCCCCCATTTTATGACAGCAAAACTGCAAGTGGAGATGCATGTTTGAATCCATTTCTTCCATTTCACATCGAAGCTCATTCTATCAAGCATGTTGTCAATGAAGTTTCAAGAAACATGGTCAAAAGCCTTCTCCATATCCAATTTGCATAGAATACCACTCTTCTTATTCCTGAAAACATCATTCAGAACTTCGTTAGCAGTCAATATGGTATCTGTAATTTGTCTACCGAAACAAAAGCTTGCTGACTTTCCCCTATGATCACATGGAGGATTTTTGAGAGTCTTTTAGTCAGCATTTTGGATAGAAGCTTGTATACACATCCCACCAAGCTTATATGATGAAAATCTTTGATGTTCTTGGCACAATTGTTTTAGGGATCATGACAAGGAACGTAGAATTCAAAGGTCTTCACCATCGAGCAGTTCTTGTGGAAATCCCTAAAAAACTCAAATATAATTTTAGATTAAAACCGTGGGGTCTCGGGGCTTCATCCCTATTGCAATCTCTAAGACATCCATAAATCTCATCTTCGGTGAAGTCGGCCTCAAACTGCAATCTGTCCAAATAGCCTAAACAGCCAAAATGCAAATCGTCGAGCTTTGGCCTTCATACTCTTCGGTGTACAAATTTTTGAAGCATAACATGGCATTTTCCCTCATGTTGTCATTGCCCTTTACACAACAGTCATCAACAATGATTTCCTCGACATAATTGATTCTTCTTCTGTGGTTGGCGAAACAATGAAAATACTTGGTGTTCTTATCTCCCTTCTTGAGCCATTTTTCCCTGGCCTTTTGCTTCCATGTGATGACTTCTCTATGTAAGCAGTTAGCCAAGTTGATTTTGAGGAAATCTCTTTTCTCTCTGTCGGCTTGAGACAGTGCAGCTATCCCCCTCTAACCTGTCAAGGTTGTCAATCTCAGTCAAATACCCCTTGATGTTCATGTCTTCAACAAGCTCTGCTTCTTTAACTCAATTCTTAATGACAGATTTCAGGGACTTGAATTTCTTAGCCAAAATGAAGCTGGCAGTGCCTTTGACTATGATGTTCTTCCAATGATCCACCACCCGGGATTTGAACTTATCAACAGAAAGCCATTCGTTGTCAATCCAGAAAGAAATGGGTTCCCAATGAATACTATCCAGAACAAGGTAAATAAGAAAAGGATCAAAGGTTGGTCTAGGAAGTACCTGTTGACTGAGACCCGGAAGATCCAATAGAAAATCAGTGGCGACCAGGAATCTGTCGCCACCACCAGGGACTTGTGTACTCTTGTTTAATGTTTTATTCTTAATTTCAGAAACAGATTGTCATAATTCTTAATGGACTCTAAATCTGCATTGTTTTGTTAGCTTCCAATGGCCACATTATCTTATTTTTACACTGCAAATAATTGATAGTGTTCCTAATAGGTGGCTCTCATTTCAAGGATGGTTGGCCCACATATCACAGCTGCTGCTGCTGAGGCTTCAGTTACAGAACTTTGTAACGAGACGTTGTGTCCAAGAGAAATATTTGATGGCAATGAGGCCTATGTAACTAGCGGGTAGCCATCAACAACTCTGTTTTTATGAGCCTGAATGGTTGTTTATTGTTTATATACTTGTGTGCTATTTTTCTCCAAATTAGTTAGTTATTCCAAAGTGTTGAATTTCTCTTTTATTTTATATGTTACAGAACTGATCAGGTGGAAGATACAGAAATGAAGGACAAGCCCTCTCAATTAGGTATTTATTATTACTGCAATCATGTGAAATGACGTGTACCTTTTCCAGTTATGAAACTAGAGTCCTATCCTGATCATATTTAATCATACCTTTAAGGAATTCATAGTCAGATGGATGTGAGATCAAACATGAAACTATTTTTAATTCTATATATTAAAGTTTCATTTGGTTCAATTTTTCATTTCATTTCCACTTAAAATTTCACATATAATTTCTAGGTTACTCTTTTCTTTTTCCTCTTGAAGAAATAATTTTTGTATTACTTTTAACATATAAAATTAGAACTTATTTTAATCTTTAATTTCACCTTTCACCCCGTGAATTACTTGGGATGGAAATTCATCTTTCACTTTGTAAAGAACTTTAAGGTGAGGATAGAGGTGAGATTAAACGTATAAACCGTGTTCTAATTTACATATTCAGACTAATATAAATCTTAAATTTAGATATTAGGTGAGAATTGAATGATGATTTAACCAAATGCAACCGAAGAATAATCTGCAAACAAGATCTAAAAGTTACATGAGAATGAAATGAGCATTTCACTAAATACAACGCCCTGTTGAAGTGAAGTTAGCTATCAAATTTCCACAACCATTTCCATTTGATTATCTGCTAGCCAACAATTATTTACATTTTGCCAATCCTAACATTTCTTTATGACTCTATCTTCTCTTCCAGACACTCAAGAGGCATCCTCAGAGAAGAATGACATACCTCTAACTTTACGAATTAGAGCTGCAGTGGCGACAGCTCTTGGAACTGCTGCTGCTCATGCCAAATTATTGGCTGATCAAGAAGATAGGGAGATTGAAAATTTAGTTGCAACCATTATTGAGACACAGGTGTGTTAATTTTCCTGTTATTGTTTCTCTATATTGTCTGCATTGGAAAGTGATCCAGTTTGATTTGCACTGTTCCTATCTCCTAATCTTTGTCCTTTGCATGTATACGTAATCAGTTGGATAAAATGCACTGCAAGATAAAGCATTTTGAAGAACTTGAGCTGATAATGGAGAAAGAATTTTTGGAAATTGAGGAACTAAAAGAGTGTATTTTAGGAGAGCGTATTGCTGTCTTACAAAAGGCATTTGAAGCTGGTATATCTAAACGGTGGGACCATACATTGTTAAGACCATAAGTTGCTAGTAGTGGCTTGTAGCATGGTAAACCTAAAGCAGCAGAAGTTAGAATAGAGTAGATCTTATGTGAACCTTCAAGGTTTATTATAGCCTATGCTTCAGTGTTTACATTTTTTTTTGCCCATTTCTTACAGTTGAGGATTGCGGTCCCGGCTCAGTTTCTCTTTTTTCTGTTCTATTGTGTCCATGAAATGGGCTGATGAACATCACCATTTCTGTACCATTGTTGGGTGAATACTCTTTTGAATATTTGTGCAGGTTTCTTAGAATTTTCGGTATAGAGTGACTATTCCTTCCATGGGTCTTGAACCTTGATGTTAACCTGCTAGGTGAACTCTAATTTTTGTCTCATTTTCTTGTTGGAGTAAATGCAGACTGCATTAATAATGAAAGTTAATTCAATTGGAATAGAACCTAATGGAAGTCATTAGAAATAAGGAGTTCAAAGCCAGCAATTTCCTTTATACCTGTCATGTACTTCAACTAATTAACACAGAAATGATTTTCTAATTTCTCAAAGTTTTACTAATTATTGAATGGTTGGTATTTTTAAACAAATTGTCATATTAGTTTCTGACATTCATTCATTGTTACAGTTTGATACTTAATTTTTTTTGCAAATACATTATGAATTTCGGATCAGTTATTACATGTGCAATAATTAACATTAGTTAAAATACGTATTACACCATCAATTTTTTCATCAAATGAAGAATTTATTCAAACATAATAGAAACAAAAAAAAATGTATAAAAATTTATTTGAATATTTTTAAATAGTGAACAGAGTGATTTCACTTATTTATTGAGTATAAAATAAATTATCTAAATCTGACCTAATTTTTGCAAGAAAATTAGTAATAAACACTGTGAATTAGGGATTTGCGATTTGTCACCAACCAAAAAAAAAAAAAAAAAAAAAAGATGTCAAGCCTAAGGGTATATAGTTAATAATTAATTACTGTTTTAACATGCATTATAATTTTACTAATATAATCATTAATAAAAATATAATACATATATGCCAAATGAACAAATTTGTTTAGTACAACTATTTTTCAAGTAAAAGCAACCAAAATTTATATATGTACCCCAACTTTTATAGTACAACTAATTCTCTAGTAATAAAAGATGATTTTAATTTCTTTTATAATATCTCTTAATTTATTGTGTTCTTCATATTACAGTTTTTTTTTTTTAAATAAAAAGTATTTGACTGGGCTAACCTTGAATATCTCCCGGGCCCAAATAAAAAGCTAACCTACTTTTGGGTCATAGACAAAATGGGCCCCCAGTCCGGCCCATTTTGAACTCTCTCTCTCTCTCTCTCTCTCCTTTGTCCCAACAAAAAACTGGAGGGAAAAATAAATTGCTAAAACCCAAACGTCCCTCCAACACTGAAAATGCTCCGAAGACGCCTCCGGCTTAGCTACCCTTCCGACGAAGATGAAGAAGACAACAACCGTCAACAAAACAACAATTCAACCTACCAACAGCCTACCATCACTCATCCGCCTGTATCCTCTCCTCCTTCAGATTTTAACCCTAACCCTACTTCTGTTGCCCCCGAACCAATCTCAATCTCAGACGATGACGAACTCATTGATGTTTCCGACGACCTCAACCCTCCGTCTCCTCCTCCTCCTCCTAATCACGTGGTTACCACCGGTTCTCCTGTCGGGGACTTCCTGAGTAGGATGGGACTGAGTTTGAGAAGGGAATGGCTGGAATCTTGTTTTCACGGGCTCCAGATATCTCTTCCTGCATTTTCGAGCCTTGATGTCGCTGCAAAAGCCAAGCTTTGTTTCGAGCAGTTCTTGTTTTCTGATATGAATTACTCTGGAGGCGCGGTGCTACCCCATAACGTCGCATCTATGCACCTTGTCGACCTTCCGGGGCCGTTTGTATTGCAGGTTTGCTGCATTTTCTCTGTGCAGGTTCAATTTAATGTTGCCTGCCTTTTCTGTCAGTTCTTGCCTATGTTTATCGGTTTGAGTGGCTGCAAGCGGTTTTCTAGATGTGATTCTATTTAAATTGTTATTGAATGTAAACCATCACGACATTATTCTATTATAATCGTTGTTTTTTTAGACGGTTATTTTAATTATTGCTGACTACTCATGTTGATCAAATCTTTACGCTTAGCATATGCTACAGAACTTTAGTCAAAATAATGGAATTTCCGTTTTTGAGTTTGTTTTTTGGTGCAATACATATGGCAGTTTTATTTCCTCGTCATATATTTTGGAATTTGATAATTGAATGTGATATTGTTTCAGAGTAATTTGATAAGCAAGGGTGAGTAGCTTTTTATGTCTTAGTATGTTATGGTTTCGTAATGCTTATAACATTTAGCCAACTTCAGCAATGAAAATTTCGAAGAAAGTAATCCTATTGACTAGGTAAATACAATTTATATCTCTGGAGTCTGGTATAAATGCCTGAAGCAAACTTTTGCATGAAAGACGTTGTTCTTTCAGCCAATTGAGAATCAATCAGTTGAAACATTTTATTTTCCTTTTTGTGGTTGGTAGAAGTGTACTGAAATGTAAAATGAAGTCTTATGCTAACATAAAACAATGGATTTATCAGTTGGAGAAGAAACTTTTTTTTGAGAAGAATTTGCTTATTATTTGTCCAGGTTGATGAGATTGTTAATATCAGCTGTCCTCTCCGAGGCAGATATCAGGATGCACAGCCTGGATTTAAGAGGTGCCTTAAGCTTTCCATGACAGATGGTGTTCAGCGTGTTTTTGGCATGGAATACAGGCCTATCAAGGATCTCAAAGCTCTCCCTCCTGCTGGATTGAAGGTTTCTCTTACCTATTGCCTATTAGTGTTTTATAATCTGGTTATATTTTTCTTCTCAGAAAAAAAAGGTTATATTTCTTACCAGCACCAATTCTGGATTTAGGAATAATAATATTTTGTAGGGTATTAGGAGTTTATGGATAATGAAGGTAAGAAAATGGTTTAGCTCTATAAACTGGACTATTATCTATATCTGAGCATTGATCAAGCTAACTTCTTCTGTTATCACTGGAGGTCTGGCATTTAGATTTCTTCTTTTTTCGTGGCTTACCTACTTGATGTTGACAGAAAATGGAGAAAGTTGCTTAACCACTATTAGACTTGTTAATACCAGGCACTAACAGGTTATCTTTTGGCTTGTAGGTTCTCATCTGTAATGTACATATACGGCGTGGGCTTTTAATGCTGGTTCCCGAAGTTTTAGAAGTTCTAGGAGGAGTAGTTGAAGAGTTGGATGAGGCACAAAAGCGTCTGATAGAGGAAGTGAATAAACCACCTAGGGGAAAAAGGTAGTAGCTCCAAGGATTTATTCATGCTTTCATAGAGTCACAACATGTTCAGTGCTGTTTATTGTGCTGCTGAATGTGTCATAAAAATTGAAATAATGTTTTTTCCTCTAATGAATCCTTTTGTAGTCTACTAGGCTATATCAAATTCTTATTTTCTCAATTTGTTGTGAAATTAATCTTGCTCTTTGAAAATTTATAGCAAACTTGATGGTATGATTTTCTTTTGCCATCACCGTTTTTAACTTTTTGAAACTGTTGCTACTACAAGCAACTATAATGCAATAGGGTATTGAATTCACCAATGAACACTTCTCAAGCTTCATCTGTAATTTACTTTCTGTAATAGTAAAACAGAACAATGTTGCCTAAGGTGATTCTGGTCTATAAAGTTGGATTCTATTGTTCTCTTTATGTTTGCTTTACCAAAGTAGGTTGTTTTCCAGTTTATTCCTTTGAAGGAATCTGATTAATATATTAATTTTCTGGAAAGTGACTTGGTCTACAATTGTTTGACGTTCTTTACACATGAAAAAAAGTTGACTTCCATCCTCTTTTTTGCAGATCAAGGACTGGAGTGGTGCCTTCTTTATCTACTAGAGCAACTAGAGCTGCATGGCCATTGAATAGCGGAAATTTTAATGGTCATGGGAATGCGTATTTATCAGGAAATGCTACTCCCACTCAGGCAGATGGACAAGGTAGAATTTTTGTTCTTGTTCTAATTTGTTTTAATGTTTTCAGTTTGAGAGAGCAAAACTTATATGGTTCAAGAAGTTAAATTTAGATATTTTAATAGTTTAAGTTGGTAATCAGCATCTGGCTCTATCTTCAAAGATCGATGTTACCATATGTTTCATGTAAGGGTTATTTTTGCCTGTTGCTTTTGGTGTGTTCTAATGTGTATGAGAGGTGAAGGTTAGACAACTAGTTATATCTTTATTTTGGATTGTTATTTGAATGAAAGTTGGATGTGATATCTGTATTTCATTTCTGCCTTGGCCCCAGTTTACGAAAATTTTGATTTTTAGGGGCAATTTCTTGACTCTTATTTTCAAACAATATTTTTGGTGAACTTTTAGGACTTTGAAAGAACATATGCAATTTTTGTCATATGTTATA